CTCTCTGATGTGAATTTAATTCAGAATCAAGACAAGATATTTTAGTGGATGTTTTTAGGATTAGAAATGGTGATTCTAATGTTAAATTAGTTTGGATCCCTGCTCACATTGGCATTATAGGAAAAGAGTTGGCTGATAGTTTCGCAAAGAGTGCTGTAAAAAGGGGTCTTGTTGATTTAAATATTAAAATAAGTAAAAAGGAGGTAAAGAATATTATTAAAATGTATTTCAAGAAGAAATGGCAGGAACAGTGGGACACAGCAGAGTGGTGCAGAGGCAGCGTGCTGGGCCCATAACCCAGAGGTCGATGGATCCAAACCATCCTCTGCTAGCTGAAACCTTCAAGGTTGTACATGTACCTTATTTACATCTCAACAGTTGGTTCTTAAAATGTGGGGCACATCCCCTTGGGAGGGTGTGTAAGAATTTATGAAAAGAGTCATTGGGTGACTGAGCATAATGGACAGCTTTTTGAGTGGGCTCCTTTAGCTTTTATTGAGTAACAACGCTCTACCGGGAGAGCATTTACCACCATCCTGCCTCTATGCTATACTGTAGAATACGTTGATATTGAAATGTAACATTGCAGGTCCTTTCCACTCAAGTGGGAGAGCGTTAGACTGAAAATCTAAAGATCCTGTCCTTTTGCAGTCAGTAGATGGGAACATTGTACTTTGTTAGCACTCCTTGTCAAACTACTGTCTTCAACACTCCCAGAACAACAGTTTCTTGTTATGTAGATCTAATATGGAAGGAGAAGCTTTAATTGAGATTAGTGAAACAGGCCAGTTAGCTCAGCTGGTCAGAGCGTGGTGCTAATAACGCCAAAGTCATGTGTTCAAGCCCCATACTGGCTACATGGTTATGATTGTGTGAGACTTGTATGAAAACATGTGGAGCCCTGACCATCTTCAACCTGTACTCATTCATAAAGTAATCTCATGTGTGTCCTGGACCATGAAACAGATGTCTTGTTAAACTGAGTGTGCAGTGTCTTGTTCACTTAAAGTAAAAGTCAGACTTTGTTCCAACTCACTGAGGTGAAAATGTCTCCTGTGGCCAGATGCTTTAATCTAAACTTCCTCCTCAGTTGGACATGTTTTACCTGAAAAAGGATGACCATTGTCAGAGTAAACCTGCATTAGTTCATTCTCTCCATCTTTCAGGGGAAACACTGGTGTTAGGTTGGCTGAGGAGGAAAATAGCAGGTCAAAGTACAGTGTTTTTAAAATATGTGCATTTCCTGCAGTACTTTCTGACTGACTGAAGTGATAATTGTTCCTAGTTCCTAGTATGTGTATGGGTACACATACGTTTTTTTCCTTCTAATCAGTCCCAGCCACTGCTCTTTAGTTAGAGTTTCACCAGCCAGACAGTAAATCTGTCCTCGGTATTGGCTGTGTCCCGTTTAAGTACTTTTTGTGCAAAACCTTGTGGTTAGTAATTAAATAAATATGACAAAGATTCCCTTCACATTCTGACCTCCTGAGCCCAAACCAAAAGAGCCATTATAATAAGCGTGATACCAATAGACTGAGGAAGGCGTCTGTGTTAGTCATTTTTAACAAGCAAACAGTCTTTACACACTGGCTCTGGAAGCTTGTTGTAGGACATTTCACGTGTTCCACAGCAGGCATCCAGGTCATGCTGAAGCCTGCTCTACAGTCATGGCCAAAAGTTTTGAGAATGATTCAAATGTTAATATTTACAAAGTCTACTGCTTCAGTTTTTATAACGGCAATTTGCATATACTCCAGAATGTTAAAAAGAGTGTTCAGCATAACATCAATTAATTGCAAAGTCAATATTTGCCTAGAAAATGAACTTTATCCCCCAAAACACATTTCAACATCATTGTTGCCGAAATGGCTCCAGGGCGCCCAAGAAAGACCAGCAAGCGCCAGGACCGTCTCTTAAAAGTGTTTCAACTGTGGGATCGGCTACCAGCAGTGCAGAGCTAGCTCAAGAATGGCAGCAGGCAGGTGTGAGTGCATCTGCACGCACCGTGAGGCCGAGACTCTTGGAGCAAGGCCTGGTCTCAAGGAGGGCAGCAAAGAAGCCACTTCTCTCCAGGAAAAACATCAGGGACAGACTAATATTCTGAAAAAGGTATAGGGGGCGGACTGCTGAGGACTGGGGTAAAGTCATTTTTTCTGATGAACCCCCTTTCCCGTAGTTTGGGACATCTGGAAAACTGCTTGTTTGGAGAAGACGAGGTGCGCACTACCACCAGTCTTGTCTCATGCCAACTGTAAAGCATCCTGAAACCATTCATGTGTGGGGTTGCCTCTCAGTCAAGGGAGTCAGCTCTCTCACAGTCTTACCTAAAAACACAGCCATGAATAAAGAATGGAACCAGAATGTCCTCCGAGAGAAACTTCTCCCAACCGTCCAAGAGCAGTTTGGTGATGAACAAGGCCTTTTTCAGCATGATGGGGCACCTTGCCATAAAGCAAAGGTGATATCTAACTGGTTTAGGGAACAAAACTTTGAGATTTTGGGTCCATGGGCTGGAAACTCCCCTGATCTTAATCCCATTGAAAACTAATGGTCAATCATCAAGAGACGGGTGGAAAAACAAAAACCTAGGAATTCTGACAAAATTCAAGCATTGATTGTATTTCTGTATGTGATGACAACATCTGATATACACACATGAAAACCAGAGGGCAGCAGATAATGTGTAAATATAATATTTGTGTCATTTTCAATACTTTTGGCCATGACTGTAGATGGCTGGAAGAGGAACATGATGTCCCAGTTGAGGTTGCAGAAAGTCCCACAGCTCATAAAGAAGAGCAGTGGGACATTTAACCACTTACTACTACCATTTAATGTTAAACGAAACATCAAAGTGTTAGCCCGATTCTTTAGTTGGAAACCTGAGAATAAACCAGAGTAGATCCAAAGTATAAAAACTACATTTATTGGGTCACAGTATATCAGCTGGGCTCTAGCAGACAAAAACCTCTCTCAGGGACTCAGTCAAAGAGCCCTGAGATCTGGGTGTGATGGGCATTATCCCCTGTGCAAATCTCTGATGTACACTAATATATTGACAGAAATCAATGATGTGCGTTTTTAAACAGGAGAAGGAAACTGAATTCTTCTGAAGCAGTTTAACACTGAGTTTTTATTGAGTTTTTCTTTTGTTTAGTGACAAGGTTGCTAGCATAAACACACACAGTGCTAATGTGCCTCAGTGACAGAGGTGATGGCAACCATCTGCCAGGCGTGAATTCTAATCTTATACTCCCCACCAACCAGCTGAGAACAGAAGAAGCATTTTAGAAGACAGCTGAAGTCTGATAAAGTAACAGGAATGAGAAAAAGGCTGTCAGCCGAAAAAGGTTTGTGATTTTTCCCTTTGGTAGGGACTTTTTGGGCATAAGACGACAACAACATACAGATCAGGTGTGTCGAACTGACCCATAAGAGTCTCTGTGGCGCAATTGGTCAGCGCGTTCGGCTGTTAACCGAAAGGTCGGTGGTTCAAGCCCACCCAGGGACGTCTACCTTTATGCACATAAGCAGCAAAGCTATTTCCATGTCGAATTGGGGCTTTTAAACTAAAGTTATATGCAGGATGCATTTGAACATAACGTGAAATATCTCAGCAGCCATTGTTGTGATTCAAGACCTTTCCTTAGATTGGCCATTAGTATAATATATATAGTATATATTTATGTTACAATGTTTTGACTTGTCTGTATAGTGATGTCACTGTTCGGTGTCACTGTTGGAACTGATGGAACTCTGTCAATTGGGATGTCACTTTTTAATATCATTGTGGCCGTTGTGATGTCGGTCTTTGGTTGAGTAGGGATCCTGATTTCTTTTTTATCCTGAGTGAGCACCCTCTTCTTTGCCCCATCCATATTATCTACATGATGTGCTTGTTGGAACCAGGATAAAAAACATGATACAATTTGTGTATTTTTCAGATAAAAAATAACTGAGCAATGAATTGATGTGTCATCTGTCCAACATGCAGAGGAATTAGCAGAAGAGTTGTCCAGGATGAGATCTGAAGAGCTACCAAAAGGCCTGATGGGAAAAGCATGCAGCATGGATCATAATGAGAACTCTAAACACACTGGGTTACAGCTTCTATAAAAACTATTATCACTCTGTTCTCTCCTATCAATGGTTTCATTCAAACCACTAAAACACTGTGTGAGCTCAGTGAACCATCCCTAAGTGTCAGAGGTCAGCACTCATATTACCAAAACATATTTCGCGTGGGATTTGAACCCACACGTGCAGAGCACAATGGATTAGCAGTCCATCACCTTAACCACTCGGTCACCTCGTCTCACTTATAAAAAGTAAATCAAGCAAAAAAAAACAGTTTATGCCTTTTTGTGAGGTCTTGCATGATCTGTATTTTGGTACAGGAATCGGACGTATCAGACCAAGGTGGCCTGGGAGGGAGGTCCAGGCAAGTCCAACTGCTCCGAGATTACACTACGTGTTGCATGAAAAATGTCTTTCAAAGCAAATCAGACCAGCTCCACTTACTTTCAGAAACTACAGGGTGACATCACAAAGGCCACAATGACATCAAACAGTGACATCACTATGGTAACACCAAAGCAGGGGAGTGTTTTGTTGTGGGTAAAGCTGGAGAGAAAGAACTGGACAGAACACAGTCAGTGCATCCCTTCGATAGCTCAGCTGGTAAAGTGGAATACTGTAGATGACCAATGACTGATAGATTCTGGAATCTTGAAGGTTGTTCTTGGCATCACGAATATCACCATGACATCAAACAGTGTCATCACTATGGTTACAGTAGCATCACAGAGATCACAATGACATTGCACCCTGCCATCACTGTGTCAACAATAAAATCATAGACTAATATCACAAAGGCAACAATGACATCATTGAGATAAAAGAGTTCCATTTGTTTTTCTGCATTAATTTTTAAGACTTCAGTGCTTAATTTTCCAGATTTAAATGGATTGTAACATCTCATTCATCAGATCTTTCCAGCATCTACAGCCCTGTAACAGCACTGTGAGCCACCTTCCAGTTTCTCTGAGATGTTCTACAGTTTAAACTCAGAGCTGATTCAGGTTAGCAGTGGAACAGTTCAGCAGCTGGCATAATCTCTCTCTCTGAGGCTTCTGCAGACTCCCTTCTGTGGTGATTTCAGTTGTGTGGCAAAAGTGGCTCGTTGGTCTAGGAGTAGGATTCTCGCTTTGGGTGCGAGAGGTCCTGGGTTCAAATCCCGGACGAGCCCTTATAACCACATACAGAAATGCTGGATCAATAGAACAAAAAAGTGGTTCAAATAGGAGGATTAGCAAGAGAAATCCTCTGATGAAGGTGACAAAGGCTACAGGCCATGGGTGTGAACATTACCTATAATCGCTACTTGGCCCACAAAAGTTTTATAGAATTACATGAAGCTTTCACTATCAGCGAGGGGTGGAGAAGGTTTAGAGCAGGTGGATTTTGGTTTGAGTTTTGATCTCAACTTGCCACATTTCCACCAAACATTACTGTCAGAAAATGAGGCCCAAGCATGGGAGGAGGAAAGAGAAACATGGAGAACCATGTGAGGCTATCACTGAGCTGTGACTTTGATTCTTGAGAATTCTCCAGCTGTGGATGTTCGATGCGCTGATTTTAAGCTTTTTGCCCTATGTAGGGCTCTAACCCACAACCCTGTGAGTAAGAATCTCATGCTCTGTCAACTGAGCTAGCCAGGCCAAATGCATGCTAACAAAGTAGTCTCTTTGTGCCATTATTTTGAAGTTTTACTCACTAAAATTGTGCTCCATGGGGTCGTTCAACTATCTTTTTGTTGAGGGCTGTGAGTTTCTGCTAATAAAGCATTTATGTTGTGTGGTCTCCGTTTCAAGTTAAATCAGACAGGCAAACATTACAAGATATCAAATTTTGTTTAGATTCTTGATGCACCCCCCTTACCTCTACTTTTCCTCTAAGAACCAACATTTAATGCCCTTAATCCCCTCCTTTTTGGGCCAAACAGCCAGATAGAACCTGAGCCCAGCTCCAGAACAGCTCTCTGTCTGGGCAGTGGATTATTTCCTTTATCCAGAGTGACAAAAAGGGGAGCAAACCTGCCTTAAATCAGGGCCTTGGGCCAGGGCCAGGAATGGGACCAGGACCAGGGCAAGGACCAGGATCGGGACCGTGGCCGAGACCGGGACCAGGACCAGAGCCAGGACCAGCTCCCTGTCCAGCACCTGGGCCAAAGTGGATCATAGTTTACTGTGGTTTTGTGGGATATTTCGATTTAAAAAAAAGGAAAAAAAGAAAAGAAAGTATGCCTGCCGATATGATGGAAAAAACCTCCTCCTTCCCTGTAGCTGCCACACGAGCAACACCAACACAACCCCCCATAAACCCAAGACAGCCTCTGAGCACAGAAAGTCATCAAAGCCAATAATGGAAAAGAGGAGAAAAGCCAGCATCAACGAGAGCCTGGCTCAGCTAAAAACCCTCATCCTGGATGCTCTCGGGAAAGCTAGCTCCAGACACTCTAAACTGGATAAGGCGGACATCCTGGAGATGACGGTGAAGCATCTCCAGCACCTCCAGAGGGCTCAAATGACCGCTGCCCTGAACACCAACCCTACAGTCCTGGGGAAATATCCAGCTGGTTTCAATGAATGCATGAACCAGGTCACCCGATTTCTTTTTACAGTGAAGTCAGGACACGGCTCCTCAGCCACCAGGCCAAGCCCCCACAGGGGGCCTTTCTCAGGGCCACAGCATCTCCAAAAAGACCCAGCATGTGGGCCCATTTATGAGACGCTGTCCCCTCCACCAAAGGAGAAGGAGGGAAGACATGGAGGAGGAAGAGAATGAGTCTGTGGACCTGCCGTTTAGCCAGGACACCTTTAGTGATCTCTGGAACAATGTTATCTCCCCATATATGATATACCTATTTCGTTTGCATGTTATTCAATAAACAGGAGGGAAATGTTAGAAATGTGTTGTTTTCTCATGACATGTCTTGTGTCTCCATTTTCAGTCATGCTGAGTTGAGGCTTTCCATCAAGCCCAAACACATTTATGTAATCCAAATGTTAACCAGGCTGTTCAGAACAGGAGACTCAGATTTTCAGATGTGTTACACCAGATTATAGCCCTGAATCCCACCTTTCCCTCAAGCTAGAACACCTTCATTTAGCGGTAGTGATCTCCTCAGTAACCATAGAGATGAGGGCAGGGCTTCTGGGTTCTTCTAATATATTTATCAGCTATGCTTAGCCCTGATTGAGTCAGTTTTAATATTTGCTTTGAATCTTTTTTAATAATTACACACAAAATTTGAATGTTTTAGTTTGAACAAAATTTGATGTCTGAAATTAGTACTTTTTCAATGTTTTTAATTTTTGTTTATACCTTTTTGGTTTTCATTTTTATTTATTATTATTTTATCTTTCTTTCCTTCACAGGTGCAGTTCTCTAGGATCGGGATGGATCTCAGGTAAGTGTGTATTCATTTTCGGGTAAGTAGGGTTGGGTTTTGAACTTGTTGCTTGTCTGTTGTTTTGCCAATACAATTGTGCTTTTAAATCAACGGTGTTGCGTTTTTATTTGTGTGAATCTGTGGCTGGCTCCAGGGTTTGCCCTTTATTCATTTTGTGCAGCTTTTGTACTTTTCAAAGAGATTAAATGAAAATATGAAATAAAAATATGAAAATAATCCCCCATTTATAATAAACTAAAATAACAGACAAAACATTGTGCCTCCCTTGCTAGCTTTGGACTGGTTTAGGTCTTCATCAGGCTGGCGGCACAAGTGACAGAAGCAGAATGAGCTCTGGAGCTGCTCTCTCCCTGATAAACTCCCTCTGGGACTGCCACCAAACTTTCAGCTCCTCCCACCCAACTTTCCCTCTGTGTAGTTCTCCTTTTCCCTTTAACTTTTAAATGGCCCTTTTTTTATGTTTTTAGACAAATTTTAGCTTACTTTAACTTAATTTTTAGATTCTCTCTTTTGATTGTAACCCCCTCTTGTAATTTCCCTTAATTTACTAACCATTAAAATGATTTTTATCATGCTTTTTCTTAATTTTCCTTATTTTCCTTTTTTAACCTTTGACCCTTGACCTTTTTTCTTTCTCCTTTGACCTCTCCTTCATGCCTCATCTGTTTCCTTCTTCCCTCCTTCCAGCTCCTTAGCCTTTCCTGTATCATCCTACTTTCTTCCACCTAGAACATGGCATTTCTAGGTAACTTGGGCTATTTAGGCTCCTGTTTGGGCTCCATGGACACTATGGCTCCGTCAGTTCGTGGGCTCTGGTTAATTTGTCCTATGTTCTAGCTTCTATCTGATTCTGAGTGGTTGGGATCTGCGTGGCTCTTGGGATTGGGGTCTGGGAATAGTGCTGAAGTAAAGGGTGGGGGGTCCAACTAGGGTTAGGGTTAGGGTTGGTTTGGTCATGGTTAGAATTAGGGTCAGGGTTAGGAAAAGGGTCAGGGTTAGGGTTAATTGAGTAGTGGGAGGATTCAGGTTAGTGCTATGGGATTCCAGTTGTGGCCAGGGTTAGAATTAGTGCTGAAGGTTAGAGGATTAACTGGCGAAGATCCGTGCTAAGTAAAATGATGATGTCAAGATGTCCATCTTACGGGCATATGAACTGGTCCCTGAGCCTACAGAAAAAAACTTAGAAACCATAAGAAGGCCCCAGCACAGACTTATGTGGAGTTTGTGAGGGAAAGGGAACCCTCTTTGATAAGTGGTCTCTGCTCAGAGGTTGTAGCTTTTGTAATGATTTTTATGCTTTGAATCCAATAACCGTACTACGGTAGTTGTACGTCGTGTGGTTTCTTTATCAATAGTTTAATCCATACTAAATACGTCCATCAGAAAAAGAAAGTGGTCAGACGAATATGTACAACATGGATTCAGGTGTATCAGGGAACGGGATGGGAGTCAGCGTCCTCTCTGCCAAGTTGAGCATCTCTGGTCTCACACCGACAAAACTAAAGGAACACTTCTTATTTTGGCTCTAAAAAGTATTTTGTGGTTTAAAAAATACAAAAAACATTAAATTATAAATAAATTATTAGTAATTATTATTTAAATAGTAAAACAAAATGGGGGGGGGCTTAACTTCTTTTATTGGGACTAAATAAAAAATTAATAATAAAAAAACATTAAAAGATGTTAAATTCTTGTAAAAAAATCCAAATTATTTTTTAATTAGTAAAATAGTTTTTAAAAAATTGGGGGGCTGTAACTCTTTTATTGGGCCTAAATATTTTTTGGGGACCTGGATAAAGTAATACCGTTTGTTGTGAGTTCATGCACTGTGCTGGTTTTGTTCTTTGAGCAAGGTGAACACAGCAGCACTTTCAGACCACTGATTAGGAGAAGAAGAGAGGAAACTATGAAAGCATTCAAAGCTACGTCACACACAGAGAAACAACCAGCGCTAACAACAAGCTAAACTAGCATAAGCTAAATCCTCTTAAAAGCTGAAAACATTCATATTTGAACAACATCAGGCATCAAAAACAGAGTTGGACATTGAACAGCATAAGACAAACTTAAAGCAGAGTCAACAGGAAGACTGACAGCTACTGCTAAAGACAGACAGAGACAGAACAGTAGATCCTCCACAGCTCTGAAACACTTTCTGCTTTGCTGTCCTCAGGGACTAAGTGGAGACAGGTGTTCCTCATTTCAGGCTAACGAGCTCAGTCAGACTGTGGGCCGCTGGACTCAATACGGCCCGTTCAGTCTTCCTGTTTACTCTGCATTAAGTTTGTATGATGCTGCTTAATGTCCAACCAGGTTTTCTATGTGGCGCTGGGTCAAATAAATACAGCACATAGCAAACAGATTTCTGGAAATTATACTTCAGCACCATGATTTTTTTTTGTAAAGTCTCCTTGAGTTTATTTATTTATTTTCTTATGACATATACAGTACATTGAATGTATCATTAATTTAAAAAAAATAGAATGATATTTTTTTCTATTTATAGTTGTCTCTTAATGTGCTGTATACGTTAAATGTATTTTTGTTATAATCGTAATACACATTCTTTATCCTCATCCCAAACAGCAGGAGGATCAAAACTATCATGGTTAATATCCTGAGACAGCTGTGTCTGATATGTTGTTGTGACGCTTTGAAAATGTATTCATTATTCTTTTATTTAACTATCTTTTATTAATAATTGAATAAATTCTCCTTGGTGGAACATGTTCCATGGTGTGGTCTCCCTTTGTACAGAAGGTGTCTGATGTTTGTAAACAGATGAAAACCATTCCATGTAATAATGTCCAACCCAATGGTGGAAGCTGTGCTTGTGCTGTGAGGTCTCTACCTCCACATGTCAGTAACCATGGAGCCCCAGCTTCAAATGGACCATCACTACTCTTCAGTCTCTGAACTGATTCTGGATCAGTGTGGAGCAGTTCTTCAACAGAATCTCCTGATCCCTGCTGAGTCCTGCCTCCGTCTAGCTCCAGTGGTGAAATCTGCTTTTTAAGGCTAACCTTGGTCTGGTTTTTGATCTGGTCATTACAGAATGGGCTTCATTCACTGCATAAAGTGGACAGTGAAACACATTTAATGTCAGCATGGACATTTTCGTCTCTATGATGTTTTATTTAATGATTTAATTCTGTTTGCCATACAAAGTAATATTTTAGGTCACTGTAAAATGCCCATGTCTACTGCTTCTGTCGAGCGGACATTTTCAGCCCTTAAGCAAATTAAAACTTATGCCAGAAATACGACGGGGCAGGCTCGACTTTCAGCGTCAGATTCACTGGAATAGAAATAGAAAAGGACTTCTTGATGGAACTGAAGCGCATGGATAATTGATTCAGATGGAGCACCACTGAAGGCCTAGGTGTGAAATGCACGGTCCGCCACTGTGCAGCTCACTACAACAGGACATTAGTTTATGAAAACATTCACATTTGGACAACATCAGGCATCAAATACCGAGTTGGACACTGAACAGCATAAAACAAACTTAATGCAGAGTAAACAGGAAGAGTGAACAGGCGGTATTGAGTCCAATAACATAACAAAACCATTTCAATAGGGATGACCTTGGGATGTGACACAGCAACATTTAGCTAGCACCAGAACTCTATGAAAGACATGAAAAACAACAATTTCGACAAACCACATAGTTGCTAAAAATGTGGCAAAATGAAGATTCATAAAGCATTGAAGCGTTCTATCCAATTGGTTTACTCGTGTGTTGACGCTTCATGGTGCTTCATTTGCTCTATTGTGCCATCAAGTGGACAATAAATGTAAACCGTACAGCGTGGTTATAATGAGACTCTGACTTTGGTGTCTGAAGCATTGAATGAATTAATCAATGG